CCCCTGAGCTTTGGTGACTTTTGCTCTGTCCCCAGTGCCCCCTTCACCTCTCCACCTATAGACCTCCTCTACTACCTGAACTCTCTCCCTGTAATGAGGACAGGCACTCATGCTGGTCTAGCTCACCAGTGCAGCTCCATGTGCAACAAATATTAGGTTCCTAATAAATGCTTGTTAAATGAAAGTGTGTGGTGTGTGTGTGTGTGTGTATTCTTGTGAGAAAGTGATTGACTGATTGATTGATTGATTGATTCTCTGACCATGTAGGCCAAACTGATCCCTTCTAACTCCTGGCTTCCACCTTACGCTGCTTATACCTCTTAGGTCAAATATGTTTGGCATGAAGTTATAGTTCTTTCTGTACATTTCACAAGGTACTCCCAGGGAGAACATCAGCTCCTTCAGGGCAAACACTAGGACATACATATCCTTCTGTCTGCAGGGCTCCTAACACATGCCCTATTAGGCCCTCAATTAAGGTTTGTTTGAAATTTCAAGTCTCCTCTTTCAAATTGTTTGGCAACAATCTACAGCAGTTCATCTTCTTCTTTCTAGGTCATAAATTAGTACATGTAAATGAAGCTAGACCTATATGGTCCTCACTGAGTGTATGGGTGTAAAATGCCTAAGAAAAAATGGATTTGGAAAAAAATGCGTAAGAATGATTCGATTAAATGAGCTTTACTGTCCCACCCAGCTCTGAAGTTCATGGTTCTGGGTGTGTGGGTAGTTATTCTCCTCTGCCATGTCTGTGTTCCTTCCAGCCCTGTTCTGCTGTCTCCTCCCTGGAAAATAGGGAAGTACATGCCTATACATACAGACACACACACTCCACTCAGAAAGGTCTGATGACACTGAGACGTCATGTCCACCTCACAGGTGACATCAGTTGAAGATCCAGTCAAGTGTTTTAAATTCTAGTCTACGTTCTTTTTCTTACTTTTCATCAATTGTTTTTAAGGACTTGTTTTAAGTGCAGTTACAATGATTGCTTTGGAACTGATGAAACTCCCTTCTTTCCATTAACAAAGAGAATTCCCATGATTCCAGAACAAGTAGAGATAGTTTTAAGGAACAGATATTTAGACAAATAATTCCTTACTCTCTCTCTCTGACATCCTACACAGTGCCTTCCACACAGTCAGAAGCCAGTGAATACTTGTTGAATGAATGAATAAATAAATGAATAAATAAAGTAATTCTCCTTCCATTCCTTAAAAAAGTAGATGTTATCCTGTGGGGCCAAAAAGTGGGTCTAAAATGATTTCCTCTCAAAAGGAACTCAGAAGTAGAAAGCAGAGCCACTATCTTCCATGGATTTTATCTGTTAAAAAAAGGATGAAAATTAGTTTATAAGTTACCTTTAGTAAATCAATCCTTTTTCTCTTCCTAAACTTATAATTATGAAAGGAAGTATAATAGCATTTTACTGCAGAGAGGTTTAGTCACTCTGGCAGCACTTCATTAACCACTTAATCAGTGTTCAAGCAGAACTGATGTCCTTGACATATATAATCAATCTTGATTCCTCCCACATTTGATTCTCATCCTTTCTGAAATATGCCTACAGACACTAAGGATGGGTGGCTTATTTTCACATTATGCTTTTGTTCGAGGCGACTCATATACACATATGATAATAATCAGAATATTGATACCTATGTTGGGTCTCCTCACAGTCTATTTGGAAACAGTTGTTTTCTCTTCAGTGGATTTATGGAGATTAATGATGCCAGGACCCGATTCCATTACAGCTTAATGGGAAAATAGGATTGGGCCATTTTTTAGCTTAGTGTGACATATACTATCCTTCTGGCAATGGCATGTGTATTGTTATTGGTAGGCCAGAGCTACTTGTTTATGATACATGCTGCAGAACTTTTCCAAAGCCACTTTCTAAAGGCAGCTGGGCATAGAAATGGGATAGCCCCCCTGCAACTGAGCAGCATGGAATTAAGTTTGTCTAATATATTCTTTGCAAAAGTGTTGTAACGACCACTGGTGGGACTACAGAAGTTCTGATTCTACCATTCCTTTTCTCTTGACACTTGATAATTTGGACTTTTAAAAACATTATTTATTCACAAAATTTAGCAATATGTAATTTCCATGTCCACTTACTTACAGACCGTTCATTCACCCATTCCTACACTCCCTGTCAACATCAGGTAATTTTGCCTTTCTTGTGAGGAAGCTGCAGTATAGACTTTACAGGTAGAGAGTGTGGAAGATGGACAGATGAAAACTCTTAATTCATAATTACACATATATCTGAGACAAAGATTTAGTTATCTCGTTGTCTAAAGAGTATTTTTCCTCCATAAAAGGTGACAGCATAGTATTTCAGGATTGTTAACTAAAATGTCTACTTCCATTACGTGCTGCAGAAACTAAAGTCAAAATGAGTTTTTGTGCTAATGATGGAAGAGAAGTCTTTGGGGTATGTGCAAATGAGTACTCTATAGGTCTTCAATCAAATTTATGGCTGGATCTACAGACCAAGAATCAGGAAGCCAGAATGATAATAACAACAACTCACATTTGCTGAGGTCTCCCCATGCCAACGTAGTGTGTGGTATGCTTTGCGTGAGTTATTTAATGGAATACTCTTAGCCTCCCTGTGAGGTCAGTATCACACATATTCCCAGTTAAAAGTAGAAAGGCAAGGCTCACAGAGATCAAGAAATGTGCCCAAAGCCACGCAGCTGGTCTGCAGCAGGTCTGCCTGATTCCAGAGCTCTTAACCAGCAGCCAGGTAGTCTACGCACCTATCTCAGGTGTCTGAGCTGAGGCCCAGAGGACTGAGGTCCAGCCTGTAAATTGCAGAGCTGGATATATTTGAACATGTATATTAGATAGAAGCTAAACTAAGGAACAATTATAGTAAAATAATTATCCTTTAGTGTAAAATTAATGGAACTCTGGGCTAGCTAGAAAGTAATTAGTAGATTACAATAGAAATTAAGGTAACATTCAACCCAGGCACAAAAAGGAGAGCAGGAGAGTTGGAGAGAAGGTTAATTATCAGAGTCCACATTGCATTGGCTGGAGGTGGATTTGATCTTGGATGACTATTACTAGTAACTACACAGACACAGGCTTCATTAGGAAAACAAATTTCCTGATCTAAATAAAATCTCCCTAAAACCATTCATTTGCTACCTTCTCACCCCCAACTCCCTTCTTTTTTGCTCTGATGTACGGTGAGCAAAGTAATTTTCTGACAACTAATTCGACTCCTCAAATATACGGCTGTAAGTAAGTTTATCAATTATTAAATGAAGTATAGCTTCCACTGATGCATTGACAATCTTTTTTTTAAACAGTGTCTTGAGTGATTTTGGTTACTGTAAATCAGTTCTTCTCAGCCTGAGCCACAGATACTAACTACTATATATAAAATAGGCTGCAAGCTCCTACTCTATAGCACAGGGAACTCTACACAATACCTTGTAATACCCTATAATGGAAAAGAATATGAAAAGAAGTGTGTGTACATATATATATATATATATATATATATATATATATCTGAATCACTATGCTGTACAATAGAAATTAACACAACATTGTAAACCAACTATACTTCAATTTAAAAAATTGAGAAAAAGAAAAACCAAAAGAACTTTGACCAAAATGAAGCATTGTTCCCATTCACTAACACACGGGGAGGCTCATTCTACACTGCTCAAATCTCTAGAAGGCCTCTCTGCCTGTGTCTGCTACGCCCCTGCCAAAAGAGATAGCACTGGCCCTAAACACAGCCATTTGAAGGGAGCCCGACAATGTCCCTTCAGAACTTTGAATAATGGACAGGAAGTAAAATAGAAGCTCAGAGCCTAGCTAATAGGAGAACAAAAGGGCTCATGGGCCTGACCAGACAGTCCGAGCTAAGTGACCCCAGCAACCGCAGGCCCAGCAGCAGCTGCCAGCATGTTTAATCACATCAAACATTCCTTGAACTTCTGCGACATGCTCAGGACACTCTGCACTTAGATTAAAGAAATTAGACATGATTTCCACCTTCAAAAAACCCATGGGAGGACATGTTCATAACTGTTACGTAATAGATGCCTTCCAGGCCAGCGACTTGAGGTAAAGTCAAGTAGCGAGCAGGTAGCCCTGGCTGGGCCCCGCCAGCGTTTCCACAGGAAATTCACCCACATCCCTTCTTCTGGCTCTGGGGGTTGGGGACTCAGGAGTAGAGTCCTTTCTCCACATGGCCACGTGGCCTGTGTGGTTTCACAGCTATCATGGTGGTTCTGTTCCTTTCATGTATCCAGGTGTGGGGCCTCAGCTAGTGTCCTGGGCATCTGTCTGCTGCTGCCCGGCCCACCCAACAAGGGTGCTCCCGGGAAGAGGCCATCCCCATAGCAAATGTCTCCACCTTTTTCCTCCGGATGGACCCAGAGCAGAAAACCACTATGGAGAAGCATTTTTTTTCCCACCAACATTGCATCTTTTATCAAGACACAAAGCAGCACTTAATTTTTATCCTTTGGGTTTCCTACAGAAATTTGATGGCAGAAATGTTCATTTCAGTGGCTCTTGATTCAGCTGCCATATTCCTGACATTCAGGCACTTGTCTGAAGAAAACCAAAGTGTCACCGTACACCTTTGGGCACCCAATGTCCCTCCCCTGTAGCCCTGAGTTTTATTACCAGCCCCCACTCCCTCCCGCGGTGGCAAGCTCCTTCTCTATCAGTACCATCCCTGAGTGGATTCACAAGCAGCCCTTGTTACTGGGGGGCCGTGGCAGCCTTAGACCAGAGGTCTCCCACTGGCTCCACCAAGTCTATTTATGCTTCCCAGGAAACTCCTTTGTTTTGTGCAAAGAAAGCCCTGGTGATGGACCCCGCCGATCAAATTCAGTTCTGTTTGAGGCTTGTCAGTTGTGACCTTTCACAGCTCAGACATGCGTGACACTGGGACCCTCATGACACTAGTTAATTATTATACACAAATATTCTATACCATATCTTCTATTTTGCTGTTTCAGATAAAGGCATCTTCATTATCCAAAGTGAGACCCTCGAGAAATGCATTCAAGCAGGCAAATCTACACTGACCCTGGAGAACTGCAAACCACCAAACAAGTACATGCTATGGAAATGGGTTTCAAACCACCACCTCTTTAACATCGGAGGCAGCGGCTGTCTGGGCCTGAACATGTCTGATCCAGAGCAGCCTCTGAGCATATACGAGTGTGATTCCACTCACATTTCCTTGAGGTGGCGCTGCAACAGGAAGACGATCACTGGCCCGCACCAGTATTCGGTCCAGGTGAAGCACAACACGCTTGTGGCCTCATGGAAGTATCTTCATAAGTGGATCCCCTACATGTCAGGCGGTGGAGGCATTTGTGAATATCTGCACAAAGGTAAAAAAAAATAATTTCATCCAAAGGGCTCACGAAATAGTATATTCAGAAAGTTTGCCCGTAAGTAAAGATTTGTAAAATAGATCATAGTGAAAGAAGTACAATGCACCTGGAACCTCAAGGGACTTCTAATACATTTCAGTTGCTCAGCCGTTTATCGTAAAAAGATTACTGGGGTCTTGGAATGGACTTGCTAAGTTCTGCCAAAAAAGCAGAACATCTCAGAATTTAAAGGTGTTAGGCAAGAAAATGCTTAAATAACTTTGGGAATCGGTGGAAAGGAGGAGAAAGAACAAGAGGAGGAGGGAGAGAGAAAATGAAGGTAGAACGAAAACGCAAGGACTCGCCAGGGTGAATGTAAGAGCCTCTCCTGCCACCATTTCCCTTATCGTAGGAACTCAGCCCCATGTGTGGGAGCATGCCTGCAGGCACTGCAGAGCCTCCTGAGGCCTGGCTGGCATCCATGGGAGGGTCATGTCACAAGGCATCTAAAGGCAAACAACTGTCAGGGGTATTGGATGAGTGCCAGAGAGTGGGAAAGTGGGAGAGTTTTGGGGTGTGTGTTGGGGGAGAGGAGGGGGCTGTTTCCATAGTTTTGTCATTTGGGGCATTTTTAAACAGAAAAAAAGAAAAAAGAAAGAAAGAAAGCAACTTCTAGATTCTGAAACCTCAAACCTGTTTCTCAGGCTTTGTTTCGTAGCTCTCTTCATTCATTCATCCACCCCTTCACTGTCCACCACACATTCATTGAGCACTGTTTCTCAGGCACAGTATCGGACATTTTATTTACAAAGGCCAGTGAGACAGATGTGGTCCCTGCCCTAATGGTACTCTAGAACTATGCCTTAATAAGAACTTATCTTTCTAAAGAACTCTAAGAAGCAGAGCAAGGAGCGTCTACAATCTAAAGCAAGACTTTCTCCTATGAGAAATGAGTAAAGAGAGACAGAGCCAAGAGCAAGCCATTTTTAGGACTCACTGCAATGAAGCAAGAGCTGCAAACCAGCAACCTGAATAACCTACTGTTCCAAGGAAGAACTTGACATTTTGTCTTAGGTTAACTTTTTAGCCATATACCCACACTCACAACACGTTCAGGGGGAGACTGAGTAGAAGGCAGAGGATGGAGACAAGAGAATGTGTCCTGAAATACCAGTAGTTCCCAAACAGCCCCAGCCTCTAGCGCTGGTGAGGTGGGGTGAGCTCGGGCTAGCCCCCGCCAGTTGTGGGAGAGGGTGGAATCCCCATGGCCAGCCTTTTCGCTCCAGGACCTACTGACTTAATTGAAGGTGGCCTTGATTCCCCTCACCATAGAAAGCTTCAGTTGAGTCATGAAAAGTTCTGTTGTTTCCTGCCAAAAATCAAGGATGACCAATTATTGAAATACTCTGAGGAAGCAGCCAGCAGGCGCCTCAGCATGGCCATCTCTCTCCTAGACTGCTGTGGGGGCCTCCAGCCCAGCATCCATGTTGCCCCCGCCCCGTGCATGTTCTGTTTGCAGAACCTCGTACCTCATGAGTTTAAAAATGGAAATCTGATTGTGAGACTTTCCCATTCAAAACCCACTAGTGACTTCCCACCACCCTCAGAGTAAAGACTGAAGTCCATGATGTGGCAGAGCCAGCCCTCTGTGAGCTCACACTCCACCCACTCCCGGGCCTCCCCACTCTTCCCATTCACCCCTCACAGCTCCTGTCGCAGGTCCCTCGGACTTGCTGTTCCTCTTGCCAGTACAACTCTTTTCCAAAGACTTGAACCTTCACTTCCCCCCATTCCTATTCAGAGAGGCTGTCACTGACCACCGTATCAAAAATCATGCCCCTCCACCACCCCGCCACACACACACACCACACAGTCATTCTGTTTTCCCCTATCTTGTTTTTCTTCATGGTACTTATCACTACCTGAAATTATATGTTTACTTGCATATTTTCTTTCTCTTTTTCTCTCCCCACTAGAACAGAAGCTCCATCTAAAAAGGAACTTTTACTCATTTGTTCACTATTACATCATATATCCAGTGTTAGACACATTAAATGCTCAACAGACATCTGTTGAATGAATAAATTAATAAATGCTCATGAAACTCAAGGTTCAGATGCTGATGGCTGATTTTTGGGGGACTGGAAGATATTTTTCTCTAACTATATTCACTATCTTGTAATAACTTATAATGGAAAAGAATCTGAAACCATATACCTGAAACTAATACAATATTGTAAATATCAACTCTACTTAAATTAAAAATTAATAATAAATAAATTTGTTCTCTTCTCATCCATTTACAAATATGTATGCTAACTGTAGCAGTGCACCAAAGAAAATAAACAAGGAGATAAACATACAAATAACAAACATTTATCAGCATTTCCCCTGAACACAGCACTCAGCCTTGCATTTTTCCATGCTCTAGACACAGAGGTCCTGAGCGTTCACTGTGACAAAGGGAAGACCTTGCCCATTGTAGGTTTTTGGTCAGTAAAAAATGCATTCACTCTATTACAGTTTTCAAAGATAAAGCTGACATAATGCTTATCTGACTTTGTCCTTTTCTTTCTCCTAGATTTGTATACGATCAAAGGTAACGCCCATGGGACACCATGCATGTTTCCCTTCCAGTATAACCAGCAGTGGCATCACGAGTGTACTCGGGAAGGGCGGGAAGACAACTCCCTGTGGTGTGCCACAACAAGCCGGTACGAAAGAGATGAGAAGTGGGGATTTTGCCCAGATCCCAGTAAGTATAAAACCTAGTCTTTCCTACATGTCAGTAATGAACCAAGGATGATTAGAAAGTTATTTGTATCTACAGAAAAGCACCTAGATTGATATATTGAAGTCTGAATAAGCTCTCTGATTCCATTTATCCAGATTTTGATTTTGTGTTTGTTTTTGCTTGAAAAGACAATTCTGATGTGTATTCCTTCTTTCCTTTAAGTTCAAAAGATGTTAATTAGACATTCTTCATTAAGTTCAGTGCATAAGGATGCTTTAACTGGAATCAAATTATAATACTCTGTGATCTCATTAATCCCAGCTTCCAGGCAGGATACTTCAAAATAAACCTGAATGCATATAAAGCTCAGTTATTCCTCCAATCCACTTCCTCTTGCGAGCTGCCTTAACTTTTCCATGTCCTGACTGCTTGTCTTGCCCATTGTCAAGTCCAGGCATCCACTGGACTTTGATGATCTTTTTAAAAGCACAGTTGCCCTTATCATTTCTCAACAATGAGTTCTTATCCTGATTCCCTTTTCTTATTACTCAGTTTCTAGCTATAACCTCAAAATCTTTTTCTCTCCTTAACTTGATTTTCAAGGTCAATGATAGCTGCAATGTTCTAAATTTTTTGTCAGTTACTATTATTTTATTATATTTTCATTTAGCTTAAAGGTTTCCAATGGTTCTTAAGTATTGGGGAATATTTATATATACCTTCTACTTTCTATACTCAATTTCCTTCACCTTGGTTCCTGCAAGGCAGAGAATATAGATTTTATAATCTCCTCATCTTCCATGCCTACCTTCTCTCCACATAGTTAACAAAATGCCATAAAGAAATTCAAAACAGAAAGAAATCAAGGAGATTAACTCAAAAGAATCTGATTTATAAGTTACCTGTAGAGTTTTTTTCTAATCTAAGAGCCAGTACAACTTAGTGACTAAGAAAGAGCATAGGCTTTGAAATCAGAAAGACCAAGGTTGGAGTCCTGCTTCCTCCCAACAATGAGATCCCGAGCCTCAGTTTCTTCACCATAAGATGGAGTTGAAAATAGGACCTATTAGGGTTACTGAGAGGATCCAATTAGATGATAGTACCTGGCCCTCGCCAGGATTACCATTATCATCATGACATCATCTTCAAGGCTAACTTATCTTTTCAGCGTGGGCTTCTGTATCAATGGTCCCGCCTCTTTATTGTCCGCTACCAGACAAGCTAGACATAGTGTTAGGACTTAGGACCCTCTCTCTGAAGAACTTGACCTCTAGATGGAATATAGGACAGATTTGCTCTATGCCTGAAAATGCAGACTATATTTGATACAATGCTCTAGAATTACCTGCGGATAGCTTAAAATGCATATCCTCACCCTGTCCCAGAGATGCAATAAGCATTTGCATTTTTGACAAGTGGCCCAGGTGATCCTGTGGCCGATAATTCATCAGACAATTCATAATATGCAGGTAATTCTATGCAACATACATCTATATACAAGGCTGATATTAAGACATTTAGCAAACAACATGATATGGGCTATTGGTCAATCAAGTGGAGATCTTAATGTGGGGGCTAGGAGTCCTGGAGGCCCATTGCTGGTATTAACCCCTTAGCTGCTGTAATGTGATGGGACATGGGAGCAGCAAGAGGCACTTGAGGAGCTCAGAACAGCAGCCCTTCACCAACCAGCATGGAAATATTTCATTATTTACTAACTGTCAGATCATCAGCCTTCTCTTTCTGAATTTGAATGTCTGTATGTAGGTGTACGTGCATGTAATCCCTACACACCTTGGATTCTTGAGTCAGATGTCACATTTTTGACATCATCTTCTGTTTCCAATTTGATTTCCAATAGATGTCATTATTAAAAGTAAATAAGCCAATACTAATAAAATTAACATATGTTACACATGACCCTCATACCGAGGGGTGTTTTTTAAGCTACAGTATTCTCTTTAAGATTCTTCAAAGAGCACTGTCACCATCCTCTGTCACTTTTGGCCAATTATCGTTTCCCAGGTGGAAGCTTGGGCTTAGTGGTACCCAGGGCTTTTCCCTCCCCAGACTATCTATTTGTTCAGCTTCCTAGAGTTCAGAAGCTTCCTCCGCTTGACAACCTGCCAGATTTCCACTCTCCTGACCTTTACCACAACCAGCAGAGAGCATGTTTATCTGTACAGTGCTAAATTACAGTTCCAGTTTTCTTCCTTTCTTGTCTTTTGGTTCCTGGTGGCCAATATAACTCAAAACGATGTACCAGAGACTGGAATCTGTGTAAGCTGATAGCTCTTTCCATGAGGTCAACAAGTGGGCAGGACAAGAGGAGTGGATTAAAGCAGAGATTCCTACATCTGTATCTCACCTTTCTTACATAGAAATTTTTTAGTATTACAATGTAGAGTGATGCCTTTTTTAAAAACACCAACGTTGATTGTAAGTGGGCAAAATTTAAATTCAGTGCTGATAAACACATACAAAAACACACTAGCAAAGAGGGATGTGATAAAACATCCATCACTATAGATCTTCGGGAATAAGGATGATGTCTAGGAATCACTCTGAGTTTGTTTACAGGCAATTCGGGGTCATGTTGGGTTGTCCTGGTTGTGTGTCTTACACAGCTTGAGAATCACACTCAGTTAGTCTGAGATATGTTTAGGATACCAACCTCTGGAACAATCTGATTTGCCCCGAAACTTCATTCAGCTGATACAATTTGTATCAGTGACTTGAATGATATAACAGAGCAGATTGGTATCAAAACAGATGTAAGACTGCCAACCTCGGCTTGGTCAGCAATATTACTCCATCTCTCTTGTCATACTGCTCTCTCACTTCCTATAGGGGCCAGGCAAACCTCTCTTCTCTCCCCTGACTTCTAACCCTGGCCAACATCTCCTTCCCTTCTCTCAAGAGATGGCCTCAATTCCTTCTCCATAAAGAAAACAGGGCACGTTTAAAAACTTCCTGCTCCCAAACCTATAAGCCTGACTTGAGTCTGCACCCATCTTTTCCTCTCCATCCTGTACAGTGTGGCCCTCCTCCAACCCTGGGCACATCTCCCCACCTGGACTCTGGAGCCTCCCCTCTGCCCTTCTCCAACCTTATCTCAGTGGTTCTCAAAGTGTGGTCCCTGTTTCATCAGCATCAGCATTCCCTGCAAACTTGCTAGAAATGCACACCCCAGACACCAATACCAGACATTCTAGCAGTGCAGCCCCTGCAATCGTATTTTAACCAGCCTTCCAGGTGATTCCAAAGCACACTTCCACTCCAATACAGATGTACGGTGGATTCACCTCCTTAGCAGTTAAACCTGCTCAAGTCTTAACATCTTAAAAATAATACAACTCCTTCATCCCCACTTCTGCCTCCTGAAAACATCTGTCTTTTTCATTCTCTGCCATAGACAGACTTCTCAAAAGAATTGTCTATGCCTCTTCACCTTGTTTACATTCCTCAGAGCACTATCTCTTCTTGACTTCTGTGATGATGCATGTCTGACCTCCCTTTCCACAAACCAGTCATTCATTCCTTTTCACAAATATGTGCTGAACTCTTACTAGGAAGCAAGTGCTCTGCTGGCCACGGGGATTATAACCACAAAAGTGAAAGATGAATGTCATGGTGCCTGCCCTAAGGAAGCTCACATTCAAGTACAACACTCAAATTAATTTACAGTTACAATTTTTGATAGGTGCTACTTTAAAAAAGCAAAAACAGTGTTATAAGGAGAAATCAAATTTAAGTTTAGCAAGGAAGTCAAGGAGTCAGGAAAGGTTTTTCTGAGGAAACTGTAGCTTGAGAAATGAGTAGGAGTTATCAAGATGGAAGCGGGGGATGAGACATCCTACCTGAAGTGCATGGCTCAGCAGTGACGGAGCAACAAGGGGAAGGGAGAGCTGGGGAGTGGTCAGCACTGGGTCTAGGCAATAAAGCGAGCATATTGTTTGAGTAGAACTAAAGAGTAATATAAAACCAACTAAAGGTCAGTCTGCTTTTAATTTACCAAGCACATGCACTGACAATTCCAAATAACGTCCATCCATGATAAATGACTCCCACCCATCCAGGTCAACTGCCCCCCACTCCCCACCCCCACCTCACTCTGTTACTCCCGCCTCGTGCCACTGGCCAAATGTCTGAGGGCTTTGACCAGGGAAAGACAAGCAGGCAAGAGTACAGCGAATAGGGGAGAAAGGAGCAAGACACTCTGGGAAGGTAGGCAGAGGCCAACTCATGGTAAGATAATTGAGGGTGTCCTAGAGGATTTACCTAATTCTAACAATAAATGAAAGCCATCAAAAGGTCTTAAGCAGGGGAGCGATAATAATTTAAACATTTTTTAAGGCCTAATCTGGCTTCTTTATGGCAAATGTCCTCCATGGGAGAGAGAGGGAAATCCTGGAGGCCAGGATAAGGATCCAGCAATAGCCTGGGCCAGGGATAGTGATGACTTGGGTCAGGTGGCAGCAGCGGGGCTGGAGAGACATGGACGGATGTGCTGATGATCTAATTTGGAGATAGACTGAACAGCACATGGTGCAGGAACTCAGCTGAGCTGGACAGAGAGAGCTGAGCTGTCAGATGTCTGAGTAGCCAATTAAAGTAACAAACCAAGATGAAAGAGTTGAACCCTTAATCACTTACTGTGATGGTATAAGCAAGAGCCTAAAAAAGGAGGAAGCACTGACTCCCCCGTTTCGTTTTTCCTGTGGTGTAGTGTACCAGTCAAGGGTCCGGGGGTGAGCACAGGCTGTTGAGGGAACCCTGAGTGCTCTTTGGTTTTATGGACTGTAGGGTAGAACATAGGGTGAGAGGGAAGAGACAGGAGTGGAAAAACACTGTGTACTGAGTCAGAGGGGAAAAGCGCCTTCAAGGTTCCCCTCCCCCGCCTTCAACCCCATAGAGAGACACCAGGGGAGGACCAAGGCCTCAGGTAAAGAGACCTAGGGATGAAGGTGCCAGGGCTAGGAAGGTCGATATGTAAAGAGCTTGATGGACCAGAGCTGCCT